TGTTCACCAGGTGTACTCCATCCCCTCATGGTTGCGTTATTTTCATATATTGATAAGGAACCCATAAGCATTATTGTCTATCCCGAAGATAATCATTAGGACGGGTCCCTTGAATTAGATGCTTTAGGGACAAAGAGCGAGGATAACGGGAACGGGTAATCGGGTTGAATGATTTGATGAAAATGAAGAATTTAATTATTGTGGGTTGAAAACCCTATGTACTCACCAGACTCCTAACCTGACCCACTCAATTTCTTTTATTACATGTAATGGCACAAGAGCATAAGTGTGATGATCAAATGAGAGATTTATGGATTATAGGCCAGTAGATTAATAAATGTTTGAAAGACCTATGTTATTTCCATTTATGCTTATGTAATGTATTAATGATGAAATCCCAATGTTTTTAATATAATTAAAATACATTTATTTGGAAATGCTTTGATAATATCTTTATCGTATTTTTGGAAACAAATTCCGCAATATTAATCTGCAAAAGGATACTCTATTTTTTAAATAAAGAATACACAAATCGGTCTTTCATGGTCATGAAATTGGGGATGTAAAAAAAAGGAGATTTTGAATCATTCATAATACATGAGATTTCAGTGGGGGTTGAACCTTTTTGGAGTTTTAGGTCATTGTCATTTCTGTTTTTATACGCATTATGGACATTGTTTTGGATAATCCATAATGTTTGGAAGGTAGAACATATCTTTAGAGGATTTTGGTTTGGAAGTGTTGGGATCTCGAGATCATATCACTTGTATGGTGAAGAAAACTATTTGAAGATCATCCGGATTGTTAAAGTATTGGACTTTGTAAGAGATTCTTTTATGTTACTTGATTGTTTGTACCTATTATGGGATCCTAGTGGAAGTGGTGTGGAATTCCACATAGACGATCTAAGGTTCAAACCATAGAACTTGTAACATCCATAAAAATCATACAAATTTAAAACTTTTTAAAACATTCAAAAACTACCAGTTAATATAAATTTGTTTTCAAAACAATTCTATATTAGAGTATCACAGAAACAAAGTCATCAAATGTGAGGAGCTGTACCATCACGCCTTTGCCTTTTTGCGATCATCTGAGGTACCTGAAACCAAAACAGAAACTGTAAGTCCGAAGCTTAGTGAGTTCCCCATAAATACCGATACACATCAAATAGCACATATATAAATAACAACATGTAATGGGTTCACAACTTTACAGAGTGGATTACCCCTGGCCCCATAGAATGAGTCTGGCTTGCCTTTTGGGCCCACAACTCACATCTGGCTTACCCCTGAGCCCACGGTACGAGTCTGTCATGCCCTGACTGACCCTCAGCTCGCATCTGGAGTGCTCGAGTCCTCGGTATGAGTCTGACATGCCCTGCCCAACCCTCAGCTCAAATCTGGTATACTTCATGGTTTGTTGGCTACCGCACGGAGAAGTACGACCTCAACCCATCCCACATAACATGTTGACATATAACATAACTAATGCGCATACAGACAATCAGATAGTAATATAGGTAGTCCTACAGATCTACCAAACTGGCATAGCAACTAGCATGCATAACTAATTCATACTCAACATATCACTAACTACTATGATATCAGAGCCAATGGGTCAACATTGGTGCCTTCAACCCCTTAGTATAGTGAGGACAACTCACCTCGCAAGTAGTGTTGCTTTGTACTGAAAGTCTCCGATCGCTATCTTACTGAAAATCCCGAACTATTCAAAATAACAAATACTAGGTCAACACATGGGATATCAATCTTGACTAAAGTTCCACATAGTCCATTTTGCCTTTTCTCTATTTTGGCCCAAGGTCTAATGCGAAATCCATGATCTTAAAAATTACATATATCCAAAGCCCATTAATCGCCCAATTTTCCCAATTGGGCCTAACTCCCTAATTGGACCTTATTCTAGGATCCATTAGCAAAACTGGCCCAAAACTTAATTATTCAGAAAGTCCATCAAGGACCAAGTCCAATTAGTCCAAAGGCGACCCAATTTGCGAAGTCCAATTCGTCAAAAGCCCAGCAGAGGGCGTACGTCAGGCGTACTCCTCTGGTGTGCAGGCCGTACACCATCTTGCGTTTCTGGAAAACGGGACCATTGACTCGGTATGCGGGGCATACTGCTCTCTACGCGAGGCGTACGCGAGTCTGCACAAAAACTCTCATAAGTACTTAATGGCTTAAGCACTTAAGCCCAAACTTCAGATACATCGACCAAATGTGCCTAAGACTCATAAAGTCTTGAACTTTAAGACTTTCGACGTCCATAAAGTTCTTAATACATGGTCTTAATTCATTAAGACCTTTATACTCCATGCATGAGACACATTTAGCTATTAGGACATCATTTTTATCACTTAGTACCCTTTCTAGGGTCTGGAAGGATGGCTTAACATGTCCAAAATGCATTATGCACAATATTGGGGTTTTTGGGACAAGAAAAGTGCCAAGAAGCTAAACAAGACAAGTTCTACTCAATATAATTACCAAGGTAGGAGCTTTTTACCTCCTGGAGTATCTAGAGGACAAGAGAACTTCAGATCTTCAAGCTTGCCTTCCTTCTCCAACTATTTGGTGCAACACCTTCTACTTTAAGTGCTCAAAACACACACAAACTCACACTCACACATACGGCTAGGGTTTTGGGACGTCTCTAGGGTATGGAGGCTGAAAGTGAGGGGGAGAAATGAGCCATAAGGATGTTTATATAGCACCTAAACCCTAAATATTAGGTTTGCATCTGACTCGAGTACTTTTAGCATACACAAGTGTATATTATGCTTAGCGTACCTTATGTACGCTTGGCCTACTTGTCTTGTTCTCAAAGTCGCAACTTTAGCCCTTAGGTTTCTCATGGGTCGACTCTTCTAACCCCAGGGACTACAAATGACAAAATAATAGCAAAAGAGAGGATTCAAAAATACCTGCAAATCTCGGGATGTTACAGATTGTATAAAATATTACTAATGTTCTGCAATGGATCTCCCATATAGGTCTTTCGATGAGTTAATATAAGTTTCTCAGATGGTGCATTTTACTATTTTAAAGATATTTTGGCATAATTAATATTGTAACATATTTTTAGGTATTTGGCATGCTAGACATTTTTCTTTGTTGAACGACGTTTAGATCGCACAACAATCGGTTTTAAGTTTTTAGTTCTCTAATTTCTCATCTCTAGTTTTGGATAAAGCTTTATTTGGGGTACAAGTTTAGTATGCGGGTGCATTGCAAAGCATGTTATATGCTATGGTATGTAGACCATTTAAGTGATTTGGAATCGATAGTCTTTATAGCATTTGTGGTATATTAAAAGTATTTTTAAGGTACTTGAGTTTGAAAGGTGCTTAATTGGTGGCATTTGGGGGATTTTCTTCTATCACCATATTTTTCGTCTATGTCATTTGAGAAAAATTTATCATTTGTGACTTTTGGCACTACTTGATTTCATGAAGGTTTGTAGTTCCTACTGTTGAAGATGGAATGTATCTGTAGGTGAAGTTTTGCATGATGTGAGCCAATTTCCCCCATGGATGGAGTTGGTATTATTGTCGAATCTATACCCATGTAATCCCTTCTTTTTAGTGGCGATTTTATAATTCCAAGTTCTTATACCTTGTGGTTGTTCCTACAAGAACTTCCACCTAATTATACTTGTGTTCTTGGTGGTACTTATTACTTCTGTGTATAAAACTTTGAGCATCCTTAAACATCATGTCCAAGCGTCCCTAGACTCCATCTTCCCTACTTAGAATGCTAAAGGGGGTATTTTGTTTTATCATCCATAACAACCATAATAAATATGGTTATAAGTACTTGCCTTTCAAATAGGAATCATCTATAATGATCAATAGTCGCATATGATTCTTGAATGTATGAATCTACAATTGATAGATGTTATAGTAGTAATGTCATTAGAATGATGTTAGTTAAATTATAGGTTACCACACAACCGGGCAACAAAGAATAATTGGAATCGATCTTGGTCATCTGATATGGGTCATAGTGTCAGGATTGGCTCTTCGATTTTGATTGCCTTAATACGTTTATATTCAGAGTTTTCGTAAAGACATATGGCCTCGAACATGTTTTTATGACTTTATGGTCTTATATTGAAAACCTTCTTCAATGCAATTTAAAACCCAACGCTAGATTCAATACTCCTTCATCCTTGAATATTTTTTTGAAGTAAGACACGTGCAATTTATAGGATAGTTAATCTAATTATTAGTTATACGTAATTTTCTAGATACCAAACTAATCAACCACATATAGGTTATACCTACATATTATTGTTACATTCGTTGGCATGTACTCCTAAACAAAGGTCGTAAGAGAACCGAACGTTCAATGAATATTTCGTGAAACAGGAGGCAGAAAGTTCATTTATGTTTGTTTAATTAAAGATGAATGAACATAAACACAATATTTTGTTTGTTTAGTAGTACATTAAATATATAAATTTAATTTTATGTAACCATTAAAAGGACCGAAAATGTAGTTTCTAAAAGTGATAAATTTTAAAACTTTTCGATTTAATATTAAAAAAAAAAAAAAAAATGTAGCACTAAGTATGAGCAACACATATGAAGTGTCCACCATCAAGTTCTATTGTTCTTGATTTGGATGTTTATGCTTATTTATGTTTGTTTATTTTCATATATCTTCGTTTATTTACATATACATGTTCATTTGTGTGTATTTATTGCATCTTGTTTATAATCGTTTATGTTTTTCAACTTCTTAATGAATATAAATGAACAAACTAACAAGATAATTTGATAAACAAACAAAAATTAACAAGAAAAATCCATTCGGTTATTCATTCATATTCTTTCGTTTGTTAGTTTACTAAAACTAGCCTACATATTCTTGTTCGCTACCATTAATGCCTATGTATAAAGTTTGGACTTGGGCTTAACCCTGAATATAGGCCCAGTTATGTTTAACAAAAGTTTGCTTTTTATACTAATTTGAAATCCAACGAGTTTTTGTATTTTAATAAAACAATAAGTCTCTTCCACCATTAACCAAGATATTATGGAAAATAGAGAACAAAAAAGAAAATACATTTAATAATACATCAATATCAAACTCCCATTTTCCAAACGTATATATTTAGAAAAAGATAAAAGACTTATTATCATCATCATCAATTCATCATCTCCCACATTCACTGAAGCGAAGTTGCTTTCCTTAACCTAGCACGTGTCACCCTCACACTCTCCTTAGCCTCTTCCACCACACTTTCTTTTTCTTTTGTCAAAACATCAGAAACCGGCAACGGAGGGTCTTGTGTGGGCCCTACATCCGGTTTCTCTGTTTCACCAGTATCAGTACCAGCACCTGTATTTGAAGCTGAGGATGATGATGAGCTGGCAACAGGAGATGACGGCTCTTTGGTTTCCTCATGAGCTACTACTACCTTTTGTGCTTTAAGATTCAAATCATGCTGACGTGTCCTATTACTATTATCAGGTTGAGGCTTTGGTGTTGATTGTGAAGCAACATATTGAAGAATATCAAAAGTTTTTGTTTGGATATAATTTCCAGCCTTTTGCCAGTATAAAACTGCAGCATCTACAGCCATTGTTCTTAGTTCCATTAAACTTCTGTCGATCTCTCTTTCATGCTTTGAAATATATGGTCTAAAAAACGATTCATATACATATCCTGTCCCCTGTAGTTATCAAATATAAACATGAATTATCAAAAAAAAAAAAAAAAAGATTTTTTTTTTTATTTTAAATTACCTTTGTTTTGGGGTACCATAAGTATATGAAAAACGCCAACTTTGCTTCACTATACATTGGAACCCTTCACAAGTCCAAAACATGAAAGAAATGTAACAGAATTAAAATTTAATAAAAAAAAAAAAAAAAGGTGGAGATAAGAATTTATCAGGTTGATGTATTTTTTTTTACCATGAAATAAATGTGTCACCAATTCGTTCAGAAACAGTTAATACAGCAACCAAGATCCTGAAAGTAAACATGTTATGAGGTTTTTAAGGATAAAGATAGTGGTATTGATATATATTAGTACATGATGTGAGGGGCATATTGATAATAATAATGATAATGATAATACCAGTATTGGCACCAAAAGCGGAGTTGATCGATGTCAGGTTTATTCTTTTCAACTGATTTGAAGCATTCATAGGCTGGATATGCATAGCCAAACACCATTCTGTGTGGTTTTTGTCATTAGGGAAACTGAAAGTGAATTGAAATTTTGTGCCAACTGAAAAAAGAAAAGGTTTTGATTGACTTACACAAGTCCTCTGGTAAGAAAAGATCCAATCATCTTGTAAGCCTGTTAGAAACAATGAACACAATGTTCATATAATTGCATTTACCATTTCCCACATTTCATATCATGTATGAATATGATGGAAGAAATATAAAGGAGAAACATGGAAATGGTGAATTGGAATAACCGAATAAGTCACCAACTATGAGAAGAAAAATGAAACATGTGCAAGTTTCTTCATATCTACTCTATTGTAATGTATTCATAATTAGAAATTCAAGTACTGAAGCTTAAACAAGGAAAAAGAGGATATATCCTACTGAAAGTGACACACTGACACAGCTCATATATTTTGTTATCTAAGCATACAAATTGCTAATTTCTGTGAATGTTAACAAAAGCCACAAACACAGAAAAGTGAATTTGAAGCTTTCTTTATCTTACATATATCAATCAAATGTAAACACCACAAGCATAATTGTGAGAGACTGGAATCACTTTCTGTTCTATACACGGTTTAGGAAAATATTTGGAAGACAAGAAGCAGATGCTCACCTCTATGAGAAGCAGCAAGCTTATATTAATAACAATAAAGATGCTCTGCAACCTAATTCAAGCAATCTTAGATTCGTAGGTGTCACATTTAGGAGATGATAATATTCAAAATTGAACGTGAATTGCGAAACTACATCTCTAGGTAAAAGTATAAGCATCGAGAACTCTAACAAAAAAAACAGAAAAGTAACATTGTTCATAAACCTAGAAATCCGGAATTGATATATCAAGTTGCGATAGAAATCATAGCGATCAACTGAAACTTTGACGACAAAGTATACCACGAATAACATCATACAGTGCAACAATGATTAAGAATTTTCAAAAGAGACGTAATGTACGAACAAATGAATGAAAATTTACCGAGAGTTTTAGTGATTACCTTTAAGTAGATGCAACTGAGGAAGTAAAATAGCAAAATGCAGTATTTTGGTAACTGATATCGGTCGAAGTATTGCTACAGATCTCGGAACTATCGACGTACGAGAAGGACAAAGGGAAGCCCCGCCTCCGTTACGCGACGGCGAACGGTTGCGACGTTTGATGAAGGAGAGATAAGAACAGTACACGATTTTTGCGTAGTTTGAAATTTATTCTATTTTTCTCCCACTGTTGGCTCAGTTTTAAGCAATATATTTTTTGAATATTTACTAGGTGTGAGATCATGTATTACATGGGTTTAATTAAAAAAAATATGAAAATTTAACAATTTGAAATGTTTGAATTTATAAGAAAAATTACAAAATTTTTGAATTATTAAAATTAATAAGAATTTAATGTATTGAATACATTACATATATAAACCATTTATAATAAATACTTTACATATATATTACTTTACCCATTAAATATGGAATTTTAATTTAATAAAATAAAAAATACAATAAAATAACAAGTGGAAAATAAAAAAATTAAATTTTTTTGAAAATACCATGTGTCCAAATGAATGAGAAGAGGACATGTAGCAAAAAACCTTCATTTATTATAGTAGATTTGAAATAAAAAATTATCTGCTCGACCAATTAAACCTAATGATTTATATAAATATTTTTTTAATATCCATACTAAGTTTCATTTATATATTTGCCTTATCTCAAAATTAATATAACTTTTTATCAAATATAGACAAAATTGCAAGAATGGTCCTTGTGGTATGTCAAAACTAGTAACTTTGGTCCAAAATGGGTTTGGCTTGCAAGGATGGTCCAATAGTTTCGTTTTGTTGCGATTTTAGTCCAAAAATTTTAAAACATTTTATAATGACGAATTTTCCCTTGGTATTTTCCTTTTTTATTTTTTTTATTACATAAATCAAAAAAGGAAAAAGAAAATCTCTCTCTCTCTCTCTCTCTCTCTCTCTCTCTCTCTCTCTCCCCCTAGAACATTACCCAAGAACATTACAATGGAAAATGCCCTAAAAATCCGAATTGTTAAAAGATAATAATGCAGAAATTTTATTTGCATTCTTGAATCGATCTAGATGGATAAAAGGGAAAGGGCTTTTTTGTGCCCGTGTTTGATGTTTGATCGGGTGATATGAACGTCGAATGAACCACAGTAAACACGAAGGAAATAGGAATGGAATCAAACATTAGCCTCCGATTGATGACCGATCGTGAAGAAGATGAAGCGCCTCCGGCTCATGATGGGACCGGAGAAAATGAAGAATCGTAAGAAATCTTAAGTAACATTTCGATTGAGGGGTGTGGCTCAACGGTGGATGGTGATTCGTGAGGGGAAGGGAAGAAGACTCGCAGGCAGCTAATCCCAGTGCTCCAACATCGATTGATAGCGATGAGGGAGCTCGTCGGTGGGTATAACGTGGTCGTCAACCATGGAACAGGTGAGCAAACGGGATGGGTAAGGCAGTAATGAGGGTCGATTTCCTGCGAAAGCTTTATCTTTGGAAAATTGAGGGGGACGAAGAGAAGGAAAGGGAAGGCAGTTACGCTTCTCTCTTCCTGGTCTGATAACATGGTGCGATGCGGAAGGGAAAACCAGTTAAGCTAAGAGAGCAGCAACATCGACACAGGTGGTGTGTTTGGCAGTGGAGCTCGGCGAGAAGAAAGGCAGGTGCGATGGGGGGTGTTCGGCGCTGTTGTTTGCTTGACAATCACATGTTTCCTTTCGTCTCTCTTCTTTTTTACTTTGATTGTAGATCCATGGGGTTTAGTCAATAGATTTAGGTTAAGATGAGTGTTTGTTGATTGATTGTTGACAGAAATGGATAAATGGAATGGATGAGTGAGGCTAATCTTTTACAGGAAATCGATGGATGTATGTTTGTTTTGCTTGATAGAATTGATGGGGTGTAAATCACTAAGTTTAGGTTTGTGTTTTGGTTGTTTGAAATTGTCATGGAAAGAAGATGAAGCATTATATTTCTCATTTGCAGGTATACATGAAAAGAACAAGAATGCTCTTGTGTTCTTGGCTGGGAACGAATGCAGAAGGGAAGAATAAGGATATGTGTTGATTGTATTGGTTGATATGTGTTGATTATATTGGTTTATGAGAGAGAGAGAGAGAGATATTTTATTTTTGTTTTATTTTTAATTGTTCTTTAATTGTTGTAATAAAAGAAAAATAGAAAATAAAATAATAAGGGGCAAATCCATCATTATAAAAAAGTTTATAGGAAATTGGACTAAAATCGCAACAAAACGAAACTATTGGACCATCATTGCAAGCCAAACCCGTTTTGGACCAAAGTTGCTAATTTTGACATACTACAGGGACCATTCTTGCAATTTTGTCTCAAATATATCAAAATAAATATTTTTATTTTAGATAATCAATAATAATCATCTAAATTACTATCATTTTGTTGGTTTATATTATATTTGATAAAAAAAAAACCTTTAAATATTTGTATGATAGTAATACATCTCACTTTGACAATGGATGAAATTGGTACTTACCAAAAACAAAATTATATTTTGTATCGTATTAATTATAATTGGTATAAAATTTTTACTATCATTATCATATCAAATATAATTGATACCAACTTATTTACTATCATTATCGTACCAAAGCATCAACTTATTTACCAATATGTTTGGTTGGTTTATGTTGGTAATACTATATACCAAAAAAGTATATGATTTTATGAATGAAATTTTCTTTGTGGTTTTGAACGTTAAAAAATGTAAATGAGACTTTTTGTGAATGGTTGGCACACAAAACTCGAGCCAAAATGCTTTTATTAATTTGTACAATGAGTTTAAATTTTAAAGTAGTGAATGAAAATCAGATGCATAAATCTGAAATTAAAAGTTAAAATTTATATTGTAGTAGCTGGTAATATCAAAACTCTTAAAATCTTAAACATTAAACACATATAAAATTTAACGTGTATATATATATATATATATATATATATATATATATATATATATATATATATATATATATATATATATATATATATAATTGTTTCTAGTAATAGTGTATGAATGTATAATCAAACCTTGGCCATTAGATGAAAAGAACTGAATGTTGTGATCGTAGGATATAGGGCAAATGTCATATTAGTTCATCAAACTTATCGTGTTTGTTTTAAAAGGTCACTAAACTATTTTTTTGCACATTAAAGGAATAAACTCTCATTTCCCTGTTTTAAAATATCTTTATGTTACCTGAAATTGGCTGAAATGTAATATATATGCCACGAAGGAAAATGTCGATGTCAGGTCATTTAATGAAATGGTCACGTGTAGTACATTTATATTAATTTGTTTTATAAACTGATTGCGTTCTACCGTCCCTTCCCCCTCATTGAAGAAACCCCTGGTCCCACCATAGTAACTGAAGATCGATGGTTATATTCTTCTCAATCAAAGTTCATTTCCAAGGTGTGTTCATCAACAAACATTTTTGTTATTCTGATGGTGTTCATCATGTGTTCGAGAATATCGATTTTGTTGGTATGTCATATAATAAGTTTGTGGGTTTTCTTGAACGATTCACACAAGAGAAGTGTGAGAAACTTTATTATTGTCAACCTGATTTACAAATCCCAAAAAGTTTAACCTTGATTTCTAATGAACTTCAATATAAAGAATTTATAGACATTGTTTATTGATGTGGAGTAGAATTTCCTGTTTACATCGACCATTTTGGTACTACTGTGCACATAACTAAGGAAAATGAAAACAAAGATAATTATTCAGTGAAGTCAAACATGTCAAGCGAAGGGGAAGAAGGTATTGACCTAACTAACTTCATTAGTCCACAACAAAGCAACATGGAAGGACTAACCTATGAAGGAGTAAGTCAGGCAAATGGAAATGAGGATAGCACAGAAGGTTATTCAAAAGATGATGAAGATGAGAATGTCCCAGATCTGAAAGTAAAACAATGTTTAATGAAGACATATCTTGGAAGAAGTTGTTGCCAATTCTAGGTATGAGGTTGACCAACCCTAAACAATTGAAATTCATGTTTTGTAATTATGTTGTAGCAAATAGGTTTTTAATTGTACTTTGAAAAGAATGACAGTAAAAGTTTATTGGTTGAGTGTTGTGATGGTGAATGCACATTTAGGCTCTGGGCCTCATGGATGAATGAGGAGCACTCATTCCAAATCAAGTCCCTTATCAATGAGCATAATTGTGCAAGAAATTTTAAGTTAGGGTCAATTGTTAATTATAAATGGATTTGTAGTCATTTCACCAAGGAAGTTCTTGAGAATCAGATTTTCAGTGTTAGGATGCTAAAAGAGGAAGTAAAGACTAAATTTGGCATAGAGGTTAGTATGGGACAATGTAGGAGAGTTAAGCAATATGAAATGTCTATTGTTGAAGGTACCATAGTGAAAAGTTATGCAATGTTGTGATCCTATGGTGAGGAGATAAAAAGGTATAGTCCATGGTCAATAGTCAAGTTGTCTGTGAACTTTATGCCAAATGGGAAAACTTAGGTGTTTTTTGTTTTTTGTAAAAAACCTCTTCAGACCTCTTATTGTTGCGACAACAATTTTAATTTCGCATTTGTTTGTTTTCTAAAAGTCTTCAGAGTAAAAAACCTATGCATGTGTTTTGTTTAGCGCAACACTTGTATTGCCTCTTCCAACATCTTCTTATTATTTTTTCTTGCTGAAATCTTGATTATATGTTGCTAAAATATTAGTTTACCCTTTTTTCGTTTTTTATTCTTGTTGATTTTTTCATTGAATAATGATAACTTCTTGATGAAATATCATTATTTTTTGCTAAAATATCTTTATTTTTTGTTGAAATATCATTATTTTTTGCTAAAATATTATAAATTCTTGCTGAAATGTCATACATTATTAAATTTTCGGTATTAATAACTATTCTCGATTTATAAAATCAGTTTATTTTAATTTTTTAATATTTGCAGAGCATGCAGATGTTAAAAAAACAAACACGTTTCTTATTACAATTTGCAGCCATTTGATCCACCTCTTCTACTATAGAGAATTGAAGAGGTGGTCCGCAGACTTCATGAATTTTTGCTTCAAAAAACAAACAACACCTTTAGAGAAGTGGTTGTAGACGGATAATAAACTTAGATGGGTGTTTTCTAAAAGGAATGTGTACTGGTAAGTTATTATGTGATGTTGTTAGGGATGGAAACAAACATATATACCCAATAGCTTGGGGTTGTAGTTTGTGTTAAAAATAAAGACAACTGGAAATGGTTCTTGGAAAACTTGCAAGAAGATTTGCATCTTGAAGGTGGGTTTGGTAAGACATTGATGTCAGATCAGCATAAGGTATGTTTGTGTTCATAATGTCATGGCTTATTTGTTTCAAATGTGATCTACTTCTAAATGTTTTGATGATGTAAATGCATGGTAAATTTGAAGCAGTGAAGGATTTATTCCCAGAGATAGAACATAGGCAATGTGTCAGGCATGTTCTTTCCAAGTTGAAGAAGAAATTCTCTGGGGCTCAATATGAAATTATTTTGGAAGGCTTGTAAGGCATCAAATGAACCTCTTCTCAATTCTACAATGAAAGAGATTCAAATGATTAGCCATGTTGCTTATGTGCATCTTATGGGAAGGAATCCAAACTCATGGTCAAGAGCATTTTTTTCAAATAGGAAGGGGGTGTGATGATGTTGAGAATGGGTTGTCTGAAAGCTTTAACAATGTTATCTTGGATGCTAGGAAGAAGCCAATTATTACAATATTTGGAGGATATTAGACTATATGTGATGCAGGGGATATGTAGTTTAAGACAGAAAGGAAGTAGACGAGGACATTTTGATGTATGTCTAAACATAAGTCTTGCCATAAATGAATTGAAGATCCAACAAAGGTACTTTATTCTTCTCTGAAACTCTTGTTCACCATAGTAGCTCTTACTAACTGTGTTTATTTATAGGTACTGGCAAGTGCTTCCTAGTGGTATAAATACCTTTGAAAAAAGAAACTTAGGAGAGTCTTATGGTGTTGATTTGGAAAAGACAACATGTACTTGTAGGATTTGGAAACTAAATGGGTATGGTTGTATACATTCAGTGGCATCCATTTCTTATGTAAACAGAGATGCATAGACATTTGTTGATCCTTTATATAGTGCTTGCATATATATGAGCACCTACAAGAACTCAATAGGAAGCATGATAGGAGTATAATGTGGCCCCAAGTAGAATCCATACCATATTTACCACCATTGAAAAAGAATATGCCAGGGAGACCCACTATTAAGAGAAAGAGGGACAATACTGGGGGTAATGTATCACATAGAGTATCCAAGTCATGAAAAAAGATCATATGCGGTGTTTGTAAAAAGGCAGTCCATAATAAGTCAACTTGTGATGCAATGTCAAAGCCCCAAAAAAGTCAGGTTAAAAAGAGGAAGGCTGAAGGTGATTTCTGATAGTGGTAGTGCATTGAAGAAAGGTAAGGGTCAAGTGCAAAGGGGAATAGTGTAAAAAAGGGAAATGGTGAAGGTGAATATGAACGTGGAAGTGGAATTGGTTTCAAAACGAGACAAGGTTAATGTGGGTCAACAAGTGTTGTGAATAAGAAGAATGGTCAAAAATAAGGTACAATCAAGTTAAGGAAAAAGTCAGAGAGGATAATAAAAAAAAAGTTGGAAAAAAGGGTTGAGGGCAAAAACGATGAAGGAGGTACATCATCCAAACCAATGGGCTTGGATTAAAGGTGTTTTGTTTATGGAGTATTTTAGTTACGATTAGATGTATTTATTTTATTTTTGTTATGGTCTTGTTAAGTTTGTTAGTGTGTCCTTAAAACACCAAGTTATGACATTAATGAATGCATGGATGTTTGTTTTTCATTTGTAAAATGAATGTTTGTTTGTAAGTTTAAAACATAACCTGAATGTTTGTTAGTGATTGTAACATGAATGTTTGTTTATGATTGTAAAACATATATGCCAAGGTAATTCGACATAACAATGTACTTTCACATAACAAACATGTTTCTTTGTGATTGTACAACAAATATGGCAAGGTACACATAACAAACATGTTTGTTTTTTGTTTGTAACATGAATGCTTGTTTGTATGTTTAAAACATAACATGAATGTTTGTTTATGATTGCAACATGAATGTTTGTTTAACATTGTAAAACATATATGACAATGTAATTCGACATAACAATGTACTTTCACATAACAATGTACTTCCACATGAACAAATCAATATACAGTTAACATAACAAAAGGTACTTTGAGTACATTACTAAATATTAGAATAACATCATCTGAAAACGATGGTTAATAGTAACTAGATTTTATTTCATTCATCGAAGTGGTCATACATTACAAATGAGGCTATCGTGTTACCAAAACCCCCCTAAAAAGATGGTTTTGAAAACCCTAACATCGTCAAGAGGCACCACTGATCAAAATAACCAACAACAAAACATACCCTAATATATACATATTATACTAGAAGATGGCAAACTTAGACAAAAACAAACAAACTTCGACAACCCTAAAAACCTAAAAAATGCTAAAATCATCATCGTGAAACCTACCGACTTAACTACACCCACCAAAATCCCCACCCAGAGCTTTTGACGCAAACACGAACTCCAATCAACGACATCACTGCAACTCCAACAACAACCATCATGGTCACGATCTTTTTCAAGTACCGTATTTCCTCCCTAAACTCGCCAAGATGTTTTCACATGTCATCTCTCATTTCATCAATCCTGAACTTGGGTTTCCATGGCGTGAAGCTCGTAGGTAGTTGGTACGTCTAAGTCCGACACTCTGAAACCACCATAGGAGAAGCTTTGTTCTGAGGCCATCTTCTTGATTTATAAGTGGGAAAAGATCGAAATCGGTTGTATTATGCGAAGGTTATGGATTAGGGTAACAAAGTGGGTGGGGAACACGAATTTAGGGTATCCCTTCAATTTATAAGGGGGACCATCGAGGATAACTTGGCAATCTTGGGCACCAAGATTGCAACAATACTAGTCCATGGTGGAGTCCCATGTCACGAAAATATGCTTTATACCTTTTATAATTGGTAAAAGGATGTAAATAAACAGTCATATGAGAGTTTATTACTTTAATATGCAAAAACAGTAGTTTAGTGACCATTTAAAACAAACACGATACGTTTGATTGGCTAATATGACATTTGCCCTAGGATATATGGTATTAAAGTGGACTAATATGTACCATATGATAGCACTAAAATCATGTAAAATAGTATTTTAGTCATTTAAGATGATGTTAAATAAGGAAATTTTTGGATTTTAATGGATACTTAATTCTTTTAATCTAAATTTTTTTTGAGAATTCGAATTATGATTATCAAAATTTTCGTTTTCATTATTGAGATGATCATTTTATTCTTCTAAGAATGTGATTTTTTACTGAATATATTTTCACTGTTGACAAAAATGTGAAATTATGTTATACGAATTAGGCATTCCAGTTTGAAGTTTTATATTTGACAAAACTTCATAAATCGTCCATATGGTATTTTAAAATCTGAAGTTTAGTCCTTAAGTTTAAAAAACCTTACAGATGGATCTTGTGGTTTCAAAACTGTTGATGGTTGGTACTTATGCCAACCATCAACTTTCTATCGTTAAGTGAAGGGCATTTTCATCATTTCACTACCTCAGAGATCATTTATGAGGTTTTTTCTTATTTAAAAAAAATAAAAATTAAATTATTATTATTTAATAGAAAAGGGTCTCACCTCTCTCTCTCTCTCTCTCTCTCTCTCTCTCTCTCTCTCTTTCATCTGGGTTTCTCATCGTCTTAACACCCAAGAACATCTTTAGGAACACAAACACATAGTCAAGAACAAACATCTTGATGAAAAAATACACACACATCATATTTTCTGCTTTTATTCTCCAAAACACGAAAACATTCAAAAACACCTTCAACATGGAAGGCAAAATCATCACCATTATCTAAAACTGTCACCAC